TTATTTTTGTAATTAAAAAAAGTTTTAAGAAGGCTTTTTATGTGCAATCATTTTTTTTATTAGCTTTCAAATTCTGTCAGTTTTATAGCTAACAAACAATATGGATTTGAAGACATGAAATGTTATTTCCAATAATTTATTATAGAGTGAATAAAACAGCTTGTGAATAGTCAAATAACGTTATTTACTTCAGAAAAGACATCAATACAGGCTAACATAAGTTAAGGAGTTGGAGCAACTGGCAACTGATTTGTACTTTTGGTACTTTTAATATAAAATATTTCAAATTGTGTCAGTTTTGTAGCGAAGTACAAACAATATGTGCTACAATTAGCCTATAGTGCATTATTTTCCAGTATTCATCAAGTATTTTCCTACTTAAGCTGTCTGGCTGTATACAGTCTTTTATTTGTACAAAATAACTCAAAGTCAAATATAAACACGCCTTACTCAAAATCACAGATTTTGAGATTCAACTTTTAGAGGAAAAAACAAGCCTTAAAAAAATAAGCATTAAAAATATTGTTACCATAATTTAAGTAGATAGCTCATACCATTTTTTTTACAGTGTGTTTTTCACGCTCTTTAATGTGGCGTGACAGATCGCTATATTCGCCTCAGTTAAAGCTGCATGTGAATCAATCATCTTTTCGATTACAATGAGACATTAGTTTCATTAAATTACACAAATTTTTTTTTGTGAAAAGCACAAAGCTTTATTGCTATTGGGGGCAGTCGCACTACACATAATAAATGCAATCGAAGACTTGAAATTCCTGCTCCTAATCCGGGCCATTTGCATGCGCAATACTCTCAAAATATTATAACTTTAATTTCTAATTGCTACGACATAATTCTTGTAATTTTGACTTTATTCTCAAAATATTTCGACTTTATTCTTGTATTGCTACAACTTTATTCTTATTTTTTTTCTCAAAATATTATCTTAGATTTTTTTAAAGGGGTCATATGATGTTGCTAAAAAGAACATTATTTTGTGAATTTGGTGTAATTAAATGTGTTTATGCGGTTTAAGGTTCAAAAAACACATTATTTTCCACATACTGTACATTATTGTTCCTCCTCTATGCCCCGCCTTTCTGAAACGCGTCTGAAAAGCGAGGTGTGCTCTGATTGGCCAGCTATCCAGTGCATTGTGATTGGCCGAATACCTCAAGCATGTGACGGAAATGTTACGCCCCTATTTGTGTCATGACCTACTGACTGAAGTAAGTGCCAGCTTGCCGGAGCTTAAGGCTTGATTGATAGTTGTTCAGTGGCGTCACAAAATGAAAGAACATGAAATTCTCTTGAAGACTGGAGCGTGTTAAGGATATCGTCCTCTTTTGGAGGGCCAAACAAAGTAGTTTCGCTTTCACAACGAAACACAGCGTCACACACGGCGGGCTAGAGTGAGCAGCGGCCGGCGGCCTAGAGTGAGCAGAGGCCGGCGGCTAGAGTGAGCGAAGGCCGGCTTGAGTGAGCGGAGGCCGGCGGGCTTGCGGCAACCACAGCGTCTTCACGACATGGCTGCAGCGTCAACAATACTACAGTGAGAATAAAAGTTATGCCTTCTTTCTTTGCGTGAACATTTGGGCGGTGTTATGCAAATCTTCCCACATAGTGATGTAGATATGTGGGGGCGTGTTAGAACGAGCCGTTTTAGGTAGGCGTGGTTGACTCAACTTTTATAAATATCTCTTTGGATTTGAGACTTTAGTCTTTGCAACTTTACAGATCTTCTTTATGCACCAAGAGCTTGTAACACTCCAAAGAGAAAGGAAAAATTGAAATCGCATCATGTGACCCCTTTAAAGTGGCACTAAAATGCAGTCGTACATAATGCTATACGCCTTTATTCTCTAAATATTATGACTTTAATCTCATATTGCTACGACTCTATTCTCAACAATATGGCTACGACTTTATTTTCGTAATTTTTATTTTATTCTCAAAATATCATGACTTCTATCTCGTAATCTTATTTATTTATTTGTTTATTATTTTTTTACTTAATTTTTTTTTATTCTTTTACGTGGCACTAAAACGCCATCGTAGATCTTGTCTGGGTTTTTAACTGCAGTCTGGTAGGCTACAATATTTGCCGGCTAGTCATAGCAATAAAGCATCATGTTTTATTACATTTTGGCAGAAATTAAACTATTTTTATTCCAAGTTATTTTAAAATGTTTGCTGCAATGTTAAAAAATACACTACTATAAAATTGCGATTTTGGGAGAGAAAAAAAAAAGTAAGTCACACATACGTTGCATTTTGCATTTAGAAATAATTTTTAACACTAAAAACAGCTATAGGTCATATTTTCCCTCACTACTCAAATTGTCTAAAGTTAACAATATTCAGGCTATATAAATGTCAAGCCAAAGTGAATTAATTGAAAGTGAAACTGAAGCCCCCTCTCATTTGGCACGAATCCAAATGTTTCCATAGTCGCCACATAATGGATACTTCACTCGCATTTTCAGTCTAAAACATCATTCACACATAACAGCACAGTGAGGCTGTGGTCTCGCTGAACGGTACAGATTTTAATGTAATTGACATTTATTTATTTCAGAGATTTTAATTTAAAAAACTACAGCTAGCCAATTTAATAATTTCATAATAATAATATATAATATAATAATAATAATAATATTTATTTTCTAGCGCCTTTAAATGTTTCATCTCAAAGTGCTTTACGTAAACAAATAAATCATCAAAATGCGCCATTAAAGATTATAAAACAAGCAAAAAGAGGAGAAATACATTCAAAACACTTGAAAATAAAATAAAATAATATGGAAATAATAAAATCATTTTCAACCAAAAGAAAGGTACAAATTATTCAGAGCAACATATCGACCATGCCCCTTACAAAAAACCTAAAAAAAAAAATATTACAGCCACAGTTTTAGAAAGAAATTTATTTATTTGGTATGAAATATTAATAAGAGTTTTGGCACACCTGACTGAGTGGCATTGTTCTAAAATAGGGTTTTAATTCTGAGATGATAAATTAGTCTTGGACAAGTGCGCCGGCGTGTTGACTTGGATTATTTTCTTATAATAGCTTAAGAACTTAAATAGTTGTTTTTGGTCATAATAGTAGAACATCATTCATATAGCTACTTTGTATATTAGGCAGCTTGAAATGTGGAATTGAAATAAGCAGTCAAATCGAAAACAAAATATAAAACTTTATGCAAATATGTATGAATGACCACTTTTGCATCACTCAAATCGTTTTTTAATTAACTTTTAGTAAGACTAATTAAATCAGCATGCTGACTTGACTAGCTTAGTAGCCTACATATCGCCAATGCCTGCGGAAAGTGCAATAAAGTGTGCGTTTACAAATAATGAAACCGTGAATGGGTTTTCCAAGTCCTTTTAACAAAATATTTGTGTGAATTATATTTTAAAGTGATATTCTAATATAAATAGGCTATTTCATGTATTATGCTATCAGACACTATCAGAAAACAAATTCCTGATTAGAGATCTCTAAAATGCAGCTATATTGAACATGGCACCTGATGACTAATTTAATATTTTTTGTTCCGTCATTTTACTTTATTTACTTTAAGATATAGATTGTACTGCATGTTAGCTTGCTTATTGTGCCCAAGAGCATAATTTATATAAGCCCACATGTCTTACTAACAAGAAACTATGCTTCTAACCACAGGTCGAGAGCTGTAGTTCCAACCATGTAAGTTTACGTCACTGTTTATGAATACTCCTTTGAACTATGGTTTCGGGAAACACCAAGTCATTGAACTAAATAAAATAAAGTAATATGGAAATAATAAAATCATTTTCAACCAAAAGAAAGGTACAAATTATTCAGAGCAACATATCGACCATGCCCCTTACAAAAAACCTAAAAAAAAAAATATTACAGCCACAGTTTTAGAAAGAAATTTATTTATTTGGTATGAAATATTAATAAGAGTTTTGGCACACCTGACTGAGTGGCATTGTTCTAAAATAGGGTTTTAATTCTGAGATGATAAATTAGTCTTGGACAAGCGCGCCGGCGTGTTGACTTGGATTATTTTCTTATAATAGCTTAAGAACTTAAATAGTTGTTTTTGGTCATAATAGTAGAACATCATTCATATAGCTACTTTGTATATTAGGCAGCTTGAAATGTGGAATTGAAATAAGCAGTCAAATCGAAAACAAAATATAAAACTTTATGCAAATATGTATGAATGACCACTTTTGCATCACTCAAATTGTTTTTTAATTAACTTTTAGTAAGACTAATTAAATCAGCGTGCTGACTTGACTAGCTTAGTAGCCTACATATCGCCAATGCCTGCGGAAAGTGCAATAAAGTGTGCGTTTACAAATAATGAAACCGTGAATGGGTTTTCCAAGTCCTTTTAACAAAATATTTGTGTGAATTATATTTTAAAGTGATATTCTAATATAAATAGGCTATTTCATGTATTATGCTATCACACACTATCAGAAAACAAATTCCTGATTAGAGATCTCTAAAATGCAGCTATATTGAACATGGCACCTGATGACTAATTTAATATTTTTTGTTCCGTCATTTTACTTTATTTACTTTAAGATATAGATTGTACTGCATGTTAGCTTGCTTAAAGGAGGGGGCTTTGTAGAAAACGAAGCGTTTGAGAGAGGCGGGGCATAGAGGACCTACAATAATGTACAGTATTTGAAAAAATTATATGTTTTTTGAACATTAAAGCATGTCAACATGTTCTGTTACACCAAATACACAAAATAATGATCTTTAAAAAAGCATCATATGACCCCTTTAAAGAAATCTGAAAAAGCGCCTGCAGGGAGCTCCGTGATCACGCATGGCGAATTGCAGGCTGCCGCTTGAAAAAATACGCATTCTTAAAGGCCACATCTGTAATAGAGTACAATATGGAATAAAATGAGTTCATGTTTTGCTTTTATAGTCTTCAATTATAAACAAGTCTCTAATGCGCATGCAACTATTTCCTGTGAAGGTCTGACAGATAAGATGCGCGCTGATTTCAACATTATGAAGGATCTTGCTTCACACACAAGGCTGAGTCCTGAACAGAGAGAGAGCAGAATTAACCGCTTAATCTCCAACATCAACAGGTACAGATTCTACCAGCCCTTAAAGGAGTAGTTCACTTCCGGAATGAAAATTGTTATCATTTACTCACCCTCCACTTGTTCCAAACCTGTATGAGTTTCTTTCTTCTGTTGAACACAAAGGAAGATATTTTGAAAAATGTTGGTATCCGAACAGTTTATGGGCACCATTGAGATCCATAGTATTTTTTTTCCTACTATGGAAGTCAGTGGTTCCCATCAACTGTTCGGATACCAACATTTTTCAAAATATCTTCATTTGTGTTCAACAGAAGAAAGAAACTCATTCAGGTTTGGAACAAGTGGAGGCTGGGTAAATGATGACAGAATTTTCATTCTGGAAGTGAAATACCCCTTTAAGCTTGGTATTAATATACCTTATCAACTCTCACATACACTCTACTTCCCTTCAGAAATGCAGATGTGCAGAATGAACTGACTACTTGGGGTCTGAGCTTTGAGAATAGACTACTGAGTATGAATGGAAGGGTTCTGCCCTCCGAGAGGATCATACAGGGAGGCAGAGCGGTAAGAGAGATGAAATCACATCCCAGCAGGCATTCATAATGTAACAGGTTTGATTATTCTTTCATTTTCATCTCGTAGTATGAGTATAACCCATGGACAGCAGACTGGTCTAAAGAAATGAGAGGTCTCCCTCTGATTAGCTGCATGTCTCTGGACAACTGGTTGATGTTCTATACACGGCGAAATGTGGACGTTGCCCAATCTCTGCTACAAACTCTCCACAAAGTGTCTGGGCCCATGGGTATCCGCATGCAGAGGGCCATCATGTGAGTTGTATGAAATTTTGAATGTTAAAAACTTTCCATTTAATTTTTATGTTAATAATTATTCCTGCCCAAGCAGGATTGAGTATGAGGATCATCAGGAATCTCTCCTGAGAGCCCTGCAACAAAATGTAGCACGTGAAACACAGATGGTGAGTCTGGCAATCACATGCATGCACAATTTGCATATCCAGAGCTTTTGTTTCAAACTGCTTCTGTGCCTTTCATAGGTTGTGGTGATCTTGCCTACCAATCGAAAGGACAAGTACGACTGTGTGAAGAAGTACCTGTGTGGGGACTGCCCCACTGTTAGTCAGTGTGTGGTATCTCGCACCATTAGCAAACCTCAAGCGGTTATGACTGTGGCCACCAAGATTGCTTTGCAGATAAACTTCAAAATGGGAGGAGAGCTGTGGAGTGTAGAAATCCCAGTAAGACTCAAATTATAGCTGTTAGAAATTATAGCTGCTGGCTTGTGCCAAGTATCAGATTTCACAATGAATCTTTGTTTTTCAGCTTCGGCAGCTGATGATCGTAGGTATAGACTGTTACCACGATACTGCTGCTGGGAAGAGATCCATTGGAGCACTGGTGGCCAGTCTGAACCAGGGCATGTCCAGGTAACATAATAATTAGAAAATGGCACTGTTTAACTAGATACAGTTAAAGTTTGTGCTCAGCATTATGTTGGACTGGTTGGGCAATAAAACAAAAACATTGTCATGAATAGTACTACAGTTAATAGACTACAGTTAAAAATATTTTAGATATTCAGATTGTGTGGTTGGGCATAATTATTGTATAATGTTACCTTTTGTTACCTTTTCAGGTGGTTCTCCAAGTGCGTCTTGCAAAACCGTGGTCAGGAGATCATTGATGCACTAAAAGGGTCTTTGCAAGGTGTGAAATGTTGAAAATTCTAATTTTGGCAATTTATCATCTTTTTACTTTTTCTACAGAGGTTGCCGGAGACGTTAAACGACATCACACCGAACAGGGAAAACTCATTTACTCACTAGTGCACTTTTACAACTTCATTGCAAACCATTCTAACTCAAACTTTCCAGCTTGTTGATTTTAAATAAAGATTGTAGAAGGCGTTGGAAGCTTAATAGTGGTTAAGTTATAATAGCTTAATTTATAGTCTTAACATTAGCGTTTTACTTCTGACTATTGTATTTAGGCTTCAAAATACATAAAAGTTGTGTTTGTAATTTGTAATCAAGATTATCTTGAACAAATTGTGTTAAAATAAATTTATTTTGGTCAAATGTTATTTTCTGCAACAACCCAAAAGTTTTTTGTTTTTTTTCTCTCGAGGGAACTAGAGTGACGTTAACCGAGTGGCCTACAAAATTATGTCTTCCCTGCAGCACTCTATACTGAAGCTATTTGTCTTTTTAGCTGCCCTGAAGGCCTATCTGAAGTACAACAACTCTCTGCCCTCCCGGATCATTGTGTACAGAGATGGAGTTGGAGATGGCATGCTGCGGAGCGTGGTGGACTACGAAGTCCCTCAGATCATGCAGTCCATCAAGACCATGGGGCAAGATTATGAGTGAGCCACACTTCATGTTGACATATTTACACTTTGGGGATGTTAAATTCCCTTGGTTGTAATCATATTTACATTTTGCGTACAGGCCCAAGCTGTCAGTAGTGGTGGTGAAAAAGCGCATCAGCTCCAGATTCTTTGCCCGGATTGATGGCAAAATTGCCAACCCTCCTCCTGGGACAGTCATTGACACTGAAGTCACTCGTTCAGAGTGGTGTGTATAGAGTCATTAAGCCTGATATCTATCTATATATCACAGGGTCCTGGTGGGGCCTTAAAAAGTCTTAAAATGTCTTGCATTCAGTTTTATCAAATTTAATCTTATAAAAGGTCTTACATGGTATAACAAAAGACTTAAATATAATTTTAAGAATCTTAAATCTGGGGACAAAAAAAAAAACAGGATCAAGATACAGTCTGATGTGATGATTAAACTTAAAAGGATACGAGTTTAAATATGAGTGCTGCATGTTTCAAATTAAAAATGCTGTTTGCAATCAGTGAATACCATGGATTTATGTTAAGTGATTAATACTGTTAAATTAAGACATTTTACTGTATTCAAAATATATAGTCCCAGTGTATTTTGGGCTTATTTCATATTTAAAAGTCCACATTATGCATAAAATCTTTTTTTCAGGTTATTGGTGTTTTGGTTGCACAAATTGTATCTGCCATTTAATTCAATATAAACTCTTGTAGCTTCTCTCTGGGCCACGTTGTCATAGGAAGGAAAGATTAAGAACATTGTTTAACATGTTCAATGTATAGATTTTTACTAATGTCTACACAGTATTTTTTTGCATTTCTTTAAACACATTATCATTGTTTAAGTAAAATCCAGTATCAATCGACCTCTAATTTGCATGTATTGATATACTAGTACATAAATCAATTTCAAGAAATGTGTATATTGAATAAAACATGTCTTGAGGTTTTAAAAAGTCTTAGATTTTGTTTTAAAAACTGAACAGATACCTTAATATTAGCCATTTTCATTCGTAAAATAATGCAAACTGCTCACCTTTATTCTGTACTACATCTGCTTTCACTCAGGTATGATTTCTTCATAGTAAGTCAGGCTGTGCGCTTTGGTTGTGTCGCACCTACTCACTACAACGTGGTGTTCGACAGCAGCGGCTTCAAACCAGATCACATGCAGAGACTCACCTACAAACTCTGCCACATGTACTACAACTGGCAGGTAGTAACCAATGTAAGATCACTACATCAGTATCATACTACTGTTAATAGTCTATAATATTATGTTCTGTCTTACATATTCTTCATGGTTGACTTTCTGTACCACTGATATTAGGCATCACAACATTACAATGTACAGCATGACATTTATTTTTAGACAATATGTCACAAGGGTTGCTGGTATTGTCTAAAAATAACTGTTCTTCTTTTTTCCCATGCACCTTGTTGATCGTGTGAAGTTACACCAAAACAATTACACCGCATGACATCTATAAAAGAGAAATTTCATAACAAAAAAGGTTGTAACATGCATCCATAGTAGTTCACACGAGGGTAGTTAGTAGTGAGCACACTATAGTAAAACCATTAAAGAATACTATGTTTCTGAACTTTGCTTCGCTTTATTTCAGGTGGAGGAGGTCAGAGGTGTAATTGATAAGATCCCTTCCCTAGTTAATGAGGTGAAGAAGAAACATAGTGTGATCCTTTCAACCCCCAACCCTGATGAGAGTAAGTCATCATTAACCAAAGACTGTGAAATATGAGTAACAAGGTGGTGCTGGTTAGCAGGTTGAAGTGGTTAATCACCTTTGAGCCCTTGAGCGAGGCACTTAACCCCAGTTTGCCCCAGTGAGATGTCCCTGCAGTAAGTGTACTGTGAAAGACTTAGTTCACCCAAAAAATTAAAATTTTGTCATTATGTACTCACCCTCAAATTGTTCCAAACCTGTATGAGTTTCTTTCTTCTGTTGAACGAAAAAGAAGATATTTTGAAGAATGTGGGTAACCAAACAGTTGATGGTAGCCATTGACTCAGACTGAAAAAAAAATACTATGGAAGTCGATGGCTACAATCAACTGTTTGATTACCAGCGTTCTTCAAAATATCTTTATGTTCAGCAGAAGAAAAAAATTAATGCATGTTGAAACATCCTGAAAGTGAGTAAATAATGACAGGATTTTTATTTCTGTGTGAATTATACCTTTAGGTCTTATTTAACATCTTTTTTAAACCAGTGTTAAGGCCAGTTTTAGCCATGTTTCACCTTCTGCACTTTATAAGTGGGTTAAAATGACACCACAGATAGTTTATAGATCTTATTTGTCCAAATTACTCACTTAATTTTAGCTTTCAACCTCTTTGTTTTATTACAAAATGGATGACAATGGCTTCGCGTCATTCTCCTGTTGTCTATGACTGAGCGCACATTCAAACTTTCTGTCATTCATTTATATTCACACAAAAAAAACTGATACTCAGGGTTTAGTCCAGCACAAAGGAACGGTTTTTATAACTCTCTGCCCAGAAGCACATAGCCTTATAACAGCGCAAGACCATGGGATTCCTCTTCCAGAAATATCACATCACATTACTCTTTACCAGTACACTCAGGAACCAGGAAAACTGCTTTAGGGAAAACATTTTTCACATGTATTGCACACACACCCACCGTTTTACTTGGAAGCATTTGTAATATCTAACTAGTGTTCATGGCTATTATGAATGATGGTGTCTACCCATATCGACTATATGTATAGAAAATCATTCAAATGAATAAGAAAATGAGACCACAAAAAAGTTACCATTGGGAGTCAAGTTTGGGCATGCAAGGAATTGTTTTCCCATCACATTCTTAATTTTCAGTGAGTGTGTTGGGTTAGTTATGCTGTTACTTGCAGGGCATGTATAGGACGTGCAGGCAGGAATGTGAGATTGAGATAAAGACATCTGTGAGGGTGTGAGTGTTTCTGCAATGAACTAATATATGCTCATTTTTCTTCTACACACAAGTGTAATATTTCTTTGTGATATATGTTCAGTGAATCCTCAAGTTGATAGTAAAATTGGAATATCTGTTTGAGGATTGTGCTAATGGATGTGTAATATTTCTCCTTTTTAAGAGTCAGCACAGTCATCTGTAGTTACTTTTCTTCCATATACCTGCGTGCATTTTATATTTTCACATATAACAAACCACAATATTTCTCCAACATGACACATCGTAATGTAAGAGTGCTTTACATGGGCACAATTGTTCTGGAACGGTTATCTCTGGGAGAAAAAAACCCTCAAATTTTGATAGCCGATTTTTAGTTTAGCACGTGTGAGTTGCATATCAAGTGAACATCAGGCCCTGAAGCATCAGGAAAGAGTCTCTATGTAATTTAATCTGCAATGTAATTTAAGCAGTTTTTGGAAACTAAAGAACATTGAGAAGAATGTTTATTTGAAATCTTTTGTAACATGAATGTCTTTAGTGTCACGTTTTATAAACTTAATGCATCCTTGCTGAATAAAATGATAAATTTCTCTTATTCTAAAATATGCCTTTGCTTTCAGGAACAAAAGAAGAATTGGAACAGCTCACAGTGGAAATCAAGAAACATGCCAACTTTGTCCGGTCCAGCCTCAAATGTGAGTTGGATGTTCTGCTTTGGCCTGTTGAGGATAGTGAAGATAAGAGTACCATTGCACTTGGACAAGAAAATTAATTGAATTCTCATCTATTTTCTTCTTAGCAATGCAACAGAATCTACCTCCAGATGAACAGATGAATCAAGCCTCAGTGGATGCACGCATTCAGAAAACACAGGTATTAAATCTTTGCCTCTTTTTTTTTCATCCAACCATCCAGTACAGTCATTTTTAATCCCAAATTGATCTAATGCCCTTATTGTCTCTCTTTTTTTTTAGTACACTAACTTGTCACGTAAGTTTGTAGAGGTCATGACGCGATATAATGAAGCCCAAATGGCATTCAGAGAGAAAAGCAAAAGCAGGATTCAGAGACAGCTGGAGATCAGTAAGTCACACATGAGTAACTTCATACATTCACAAGCACATATGTACATACGATACCTTAAAACTAGCTTACTAAACTAGACTATTAACAGCTGACAAAATCTCCACCCAAACATAAAAGCTGCTGTCAGCTAATGAAGATTTGACAGATGAACTCACTGTTCGATTGGACTCTTGTCGTGTCAGAAAGTGATAAGACTTTCAGTTTTATGGACGTCGCCATCTTTGATATTACTTTGGTCACTGTCACTATGGTAACTGGTAAGGAAAACGGGCTTGACTCCCGTTGCACATTCATACAGACAGTATTCGAGACGCTACTGTAAGTTGCTGTGTGAACGGGACATTTTGAGTCTCACACCTGTAAGTAAATGCTGTTGTCAATCCCAAAAACTGACAGTATGAACGTAGCCATAGAGATTTTTAAAAAGTCTTAGGTTTATATTGGATATACATTAGATAAATTGGATATTTTATTGTGCAGCTTATTTCCTCTTTTTATATTTAGATTACCTTCCCATAGGGGTGTAACGTTACATGTATTTGTCCCGAACTGTCAAGGTATGGACCTCACAGTTCGGTTTATGCAGTCAGACAATAAATACAGTCAGTCATAGGCAATCAATCCAGAAGGGGGCGTGCGCCGTAACGCAACACTAACCGTCACAACAGGAAAGAGCAGAAGAAGAGATGATCTATGCACCAACCCAAAAGGATCGTAATCTATTTATTTGGAATTAAGCAACAATTCTATCTCCATAAAAATAAGAACGGCGAGTCCAGATGGCACACAAGAGATTGAAGAACCACCTGCTTGTTTTAAATCAGCACTGTGGGAAAGTTTCCAGCAATAAATCGGAACCGGTTTTTAACTCCGGTGTCTGACACCTTTGTCTCTTTGTTTACGTTGAATACGTGCCCTCTAGTGGCGAAAATTACATATTGTGCCTTTAAATCTTGAAATTATACAATCTAATTGAAATCAAAAACAACTGCTCATGCTACATATATGTAGCACTGCTGTCTGTTCATAATAAATGAAAAAATAAATTTCCTGTTGTACCGAACTCGTATCGAACCGTGACCCCAAAACCGTGGTATGTACTGAACCATGATTTCTGTGTACCGTTACACCCCTACTTGACCATTATTCAACGCTTACTTAATTGTCAAAAACACTAATTTATAATTTAATAGTTTATAATTTATTAACACTGTTAAATGTAATCTCATAATAAATATCCATTTTTCATTGTGGAATTGTGTTCAATAAGGACAAAAAATATTGCCTAGTCATTTTTGTCTACTTCTCTTTTCACCTGACATGCTGCATTTGAAATTTATTTTGAGTAACTTGTGGTCTGACATGTACTGTAGTGCAGACCTCTGAACAGACTGTGTGTCTGTGAATTAGTCCCAGTGTGAGTGGATTAATGAGGTACTTTCTGTGCTTTACAACATATGAAACGGAGCGGGTTGTCACCGGAGACTCTAAAGGCAAGTGTTACCTGGGCAACAGGGCTCCAGAGATCCTGCTATACCTCTGCACAGTGGGCCACAGAATGTCATGTGATAGGATGATGAGTAATCAGTCATGTGACTGACATGATTTGCATAAAGACCCAGTTACCCCTCTGCTTTGCATTTGAAACAAATTTCCTTGAAAGGTTGTATTTTTTGTTAGGGGACTTTATTTCAATGATGCGTATGTGTGTGTGTGTGTGTGTGGATAAGAGTATGAATTTGTGCCCTGGTCACATTATATAAGTTTGTGTGTATTTTTCCAGTGGCCTTTATATTGATGGTTTCAGCCATTGTAATGTTCCCTCTCATTTTCCCAGCTGAATCAATATAGTCCCCAAGGCGTACTTAGCATGACCACACACACATACATACAATCACACAGTACACACATATACTGTTCCATGACACAAAGCCAAACAATTATACAAATGGACTAGCAACCCGCTATTAGCAATTGCTGGTCATCGTTTCATGTTTACCCTTGACAAATTCACACACAGACAGCCATTTATCAAACAAATGATGGCCTAAACAGGATCGGCGAGTTTGTGAGAAGAGTGTTGTTTTTATTGATCTGTTACGCTCTGAATCTTGTAGCTGGACGAATTACAACTAATGAGGAATTGGAAGAGATGCTGGAGACTGGAAACCCTTCCATTTTCACCTCCGATGTGAGTTTGCTTCTGAAAATGACTCTTTCCAGTCTTACTGTAGGTTGAAGGAGGGAATATTAACGTGCCCCTATTATACCATTTTTAAGGTTGCTAATATTGTTTTATATGATTCGTTGAAGTTTCTTGCAAAGAAATTCACTGAATCAGTCTCTCTAAACCCCTCCTTTCCGTGAGCCCTCACTGCTGTGATTGGTCAGATGGCGCAGTCCTTTGTGATTGGTCCAGAGCCGTAGCGAGATTGGCTCTGGATTGGTCTACCACGTACAGTGCGTGTTGGAAACGAAACGCCCATTGCCATGACGGAATGACAGCCCTGGAGACTTGTCAATACATAGAAAAGATGGTATCGATTGTACCTTACCAATTCGAGCCGGAGTCTGATGATAAAACGGTTGAACTGGCTGATCGGCAAAACAAATTTACTCTCACAGCGTAGGATAAAGCGTCTTCTCGACATGATGTTAACCACACGGAAATTTTACTGTTGTGGGCGGGCAAGTTGGAATTCCTGACGACTCGTTTAGGAGATTGCGAGCCAACTTTTTTTTATAGACAATAACTTTATTTATCGTGCACTGTCGGATTCACAACTTTGCAGATAGTTTATGTTCACATACAGCTACATGACACACTGCATGAAAGGTAATATTCAAAAAGGTATAATAGGGGCACTTTAAAATACTGCAGCTCTCATCCAGAGACAGTTTTCTTTGGGTTATCATTTTACTGTTTATGTGGCATGACATGAGAGCAACACATTTTTCAACAATTGGCACCCTCTGCTGGCTGTTACTTTGCATTTTCTGTAATTGTCTGTTTAAAGCAGGGGTCTCCAAACTCGGTCTTGGATGGCTGGTGTCCTGCAGAGTTTAGCTTCAACCCTAATCAAGCACACCTGAACCAGCTTATCAAGGTCTTACTAGGCATACTAGAAACTTCCAGGCAGGTTTGTTGAGGCAAGTTGGCGCTAAACTCTGCAGGATACCGGCCCTCCAGGAACGAGTTTGGTGACCCGGAAGGCCAAACAAAGTAGTTTCGCTTTCACAACGAAACAGCGTCACACACGGCGGGCTCGAGCGAGCGGAGGCCGGCGGGCTTGAGAACGGCGCGGCCGGTGGGCTTACGGCAACCACATGTGACGACCCCGGGCTGGACTCTGCTTCATCCACGGTGAAAGCCGATCCGGCGATCCACAGCACGAAGTTGATGTATTTCCTCAGCGACCAGCACAGATCAGCTCTAGGCATGACGAAGCGGATATCGTCCTCTTTTGGAAGGCCAACCAAAGTAGTTTCGCTTTCACAACGAAACACACAGCATCTTCACGACATGGCGGCAGCAACAATTCTACAGCGAGAATAAAAGTTACGCCTTCTTTCTTTGCGTGAACATTTGGGCGTCGTTATGCAAATCTTAAGTTTGGGGTCGGTAAGATTTTTTGAGGGATTTTGAAAGAAGTTTCTTCTGCTCATCAAGGCTGCATATATTTAAACATCCTTTCTGAATAAAATAATTTATTGAACCCAAACTTTTTAATGGTTGGGTACAATAACAGGGGACTTTAAAAATGACACCAAAAAGTATCATAACGTGGCCGATATGATTCTCTAAAGACTAAAGAGGTCAACATGACTTCCCATTTATTGTAATTAAATGCAATTCTTTATCATTTCTCCTTACACTGTGTCCTAACTACACGCGACGCGACGCTGTGACACATGATAAAAGGTATCTTTTCCAAGTTTTTGTCCTAACCAGCCACGACGGCGATACGTGAAGTTTCTATTTTAGAAACGGTTTCTATTTCTGCAACGTCTGGAACAACAACATACAAACTATGACAATGATAACCTCAGGTACTGAGTATGTGCTTTATTCAATGTTAAAAGTGTTTCATGTGAGTTTGAATATCATTGTGCATGACTTTTATAGCCATACTGAAAGCATCAACAGACACTTTACCTCAGATCTTGAAAATAAATGAAAGCAAACATGTACGTTAAAACTGAGAACTCGATGCGAACCAACAAGTGTTTTCCATGACAAAGAGTCAGTCACTCAGTATGTAGTTTTAATAATGTTAAAAAGGTTGAATATTTATGAATTAGATTATAACCTTGTCCATTTCGTTGGGAGTGCAGTGTGCTTCTCACTTCTGAATAGCTGTGATATTTTAGGTGATTCTGTCGCGTTGTTTTTTTTGTTTTGTTTTTTGGAAGAAAGAAAGTGCTTCAGGTTTTTAAAAACATGGGAAAGAGTATGACAAAATTGTCTCATTTTGGGTGATCTGTTCCTTTGTTTTATGCTGTGTTGTCACTCTTTTTAAGTTTCTAGAGGCTGCTAAAAGATCTCTGTTTTCAGATCATCTCTGACTCTCAGATAACTCGTCAGGCCCTTAATGAGATCGAATCTAGACATAAAGACATCTTGCGGCTAGAGTCCAGCATTAAAGAGCTTCATGACATGTTTGTGGACATTGCCATGCTTGTTGAGACCCAGGTATAGTATACAGTAATCAGTAATCTTTATTGATGTTTGTTCACTTACTAGTTAACCTATACAGCATTCGTTCATTAACTCACTCATTTATGTTGTACAGGGTGAGATGATTGACAACATTGAAAAGAATGTAACCAATGCAGTAGAGTATGTCGGCCAAGCTAAAGTGGAGACCAAGAAAGCTGTGAGGTACCAGACACAGGCCCGCAGGGTAAGATATTTTAGAATATACAGATGTTTTAGAAGCCACAATATAATATATAATAGCTTTGCTTCTAATCGGAGTGTGTAGTGTTGTGATTAGGCTGTTGATTTTGTTCATGAGGTCTTTAGTGATTTTTTTTTTTTTTATTAATCTGGAATAAAGGCCACAAAAAGTGTCTCAATATTGTGCTCTGTTTAATGTTTCAGATTATGTCTGAACTGTCACTAACTTATGCTAACCCGTCACTAGCCATAGAGGGTTGGTAACGGGTTAGCAGCCCTTTTCAGCTTTCAAAATTCACTTTTAAAAATGTTCACATACATATTACCATAAACTTTCTCCACATCAGATGTTTCAATTGATGCTTCAATTTTTGATTAACACATTTAGCTTTATCCTTTCACAATATGCTTTACAGGCTAAAGAATATTCTATGGAATTTTAAACAGTCACTAAGTTCTTGAAAAATGCAATTATTATAACACCTTTTTGTCTTATACAGAAGTACATCATTCTTGCTCTCATTGTTTTGGTGGTGCTTGCTGTGGTCGCACTAATTGTTGGATTATCTGTGGGCCTGTCTGTTAAAACCACTACTAACTCCGCCTCCTCCAGCTCTAATGCAGCCAATCCTGTCTAAGCATGGTTTCCAAGGTAGCACCCAGTACTCAATCATTAACTATCTCATCTACTATCACTTTGCCTCTATTTAAATCCAGTTTGAATGTGGTGACAGCTTTTTATGGGAAAGATTTAATGGCTCAAAGATTCAAATATGTTTTAATCAATGCCAGTTTATTTGCTTCTAACCAATTAGAAAAAAAGTGATGAAATGCCTTTGATAACAAAAACGGGTACATTTACGTTTAGTAATTAATTTCATACATAGTGAATTTTTCTCTGTTGTTTTTTTTTTCTGTCTGTCATAGAAATTGGTTTGTGTTGCCATTTGTGGAGCTGTGTGCAGCATCATTCTTCTTATCATCCTCATTGGAGTTTACAATGATTAGCCACCTAGAGCAAAACTTTATTCCCTTTAACATTACTGTGCCTTTGAAAAAAAAGAGAGAAAATTTGAGTTTTTGTTTTGACTGAAATTTAAAATATCCTGCTGCATACAATAACTTAAAAACTGCTCTTGAATTTGTTACCAGTGAATTGTGTAGAAGATGGCACTGATTTATGATCAAAGAATTTCCTTTTTGACTCACATGCTTTGCCATTTCACTACAACAATCAGAGGTAATTTTCTGTCTTTTTATTTATTCAATGATGGTGAATAAATTTTGCACAATTGAGTAATGTTTTGTAATAATACAATATGTAACATTGGGTACTTTGTTCCTTGGGAGGTCTTGACTGACAGTGTGGAGTTAAAAACAATCCAGCACTGTGCACTTAAGATATATTTTAATAACAAAAGAAATTATAATGTTTGTATTCAAGAGTCACAAGTTCATTTCAGCTTTTACACAATGGTTTGACAGTGTTCGATATGACAGATGGCTCCACATAATATGATGTCAGATCTGTGAACAATGTTACAAAGCATGTTTTAATCACTGTATGCTTTTCTTTTTTGTCTCTTAAATATGACTGTGCCTGAATGGAATGTAACCATATAGTCAAATGCTCACAAAGTGTATTGTAAAATAAATGTGAGTTGCTCACTGCTCAATACTGTCTCTTTCTGTTTTTGGTGAATGTTTATCACATAAAATAGCGTGCAAAAGTTTGGAGTTGTAAGATTTCTCTTTTTTTGAGAGAGAGAGAGAGAGAAATTAAAAGTGCTTGATAACAGATAACAACTTCATTCCATCTGCATTAATTTATTTACATGGTCTTTGCACTACGGTAAATGCAGAATGTCCAAAAAACCACTGTCCAGTAAGTCAACCATCCACTCTGTTAATGATGACATCACTGTTACCATGAGAACCTCAGTATGTGTGACAAAGCTGAAGCAGGTGCATAGATTGATGCTCATGGGATTTTACCCTGGACACAGCAGCTGTGAAAATCTCCCTCGAACACACTCACACACATTAGACAGTCTGGATAGTGTCTGTGAAAACCATATGCACTTACACTGTTATGATGAAAGCTGAAAAAAAATGCCTCTCATGACGACGCTTTCAGGACATCCTATCTCTGCTATTGAGCTGTGAGTGAGTGGGCAGAAGCACAAACATTATGTAACGGAAATGTTTCTGCCTCAGAGACAGTAAGAGAGCATCCACATACACATGAGAGAGAGAGCCAGTGAAAAGTAAATGAAAATCTCACCTGACCTGGTTAGGGTGAGTGAATAAAGAGATGAAGCTGAAAGGGGAGACCGTGAGTGTTTGTAACAGTGATGAGACAGTCGGTGCTTTCCTCTCATTCTGTGTGCGAGTCATTGTTTGGCTGAGCAGCAGTGTACTGGAAACCACAGAGAAGGACAACTAGGAAAACGTGAGTGCATGCATAGGTATGAAGGATTTGCATTTTGAAACTTTAGAGAGGCTGGTTTTCAATTAAATCCAAAAGTTACCAGATTATTGAAGTTTTACTTTAAGTTTTTTGTGTACTACAGAGCCCCACACATGACATGTGGGAAATATAGCCTATATGGCCACAAATTAAGAACTCGTTGCCTTGTTTTAGTAAAACATGGCCACATTGTACTAAAACGAGGGAATGAATAAATAAGTCGTAGGGACGAATTGTTAATTCGTGGCCACGATAAACATATTTTTGTCCGCAGGTCATGTGTGGGGCTCCGTACGAAGCCAGGAGTCGTGTGCAAATATTAAAATTCCTTCTCTGTAATACACATCTTTAAACAGTTGTGTAATTGATTTGTTGGTCTGTGTATCAGTCAGATAATTGTTAATGAATTTTTAAAAACAATTAAATGTTTTGGGATGTACATTACCGTTTAAAAGTTTCTTGTTGCTTGAGCAGTAAATCAGCTTATTAGAACGATTTCTGAAGGACCATGTGACACTGAAGACTGGAGTAATGATGCTGAAAATTCAGCTTTGTCATCACAAGAATAAATTACATATTTTAAATTACGTTATTTTAAATGGTCATAATATTTCACAATATTACTGTTTTTACTGTAAGGCGTCTTTCAAGAAATTCTTCCAAAAACTTTTTAAAAAATCATACTGACCCCAAACATTTGCCCAGTAGGGTATATATTACTTAAAAAGTCAACCAGGTTGACAGTTTTATAGTTCTTTTTGGTTTTACTAGTCTTGTGCTCCAGTTCATGACATTACAAGGTGTTTGTTAGAAAGATGTAATGTTGATATTTCTACAAATACTTGTTTTATAAACAGTTGTTTAATGAATAGTTATAGTTAACTATTTAACTATTTGTCCTCTACTGAAAAATAACAATTCTAACATTTCAAAAATAGATTAAAATATAGTTTTTATGCTTTATGTTGTTAATACTGCCAGGAACATTTGGGAGAATGGCACTAGGGATGAGAAAGAAAAAAAAAAGAATAATTTATACTTAAATAATTTTACTGTTGATGTGTAATTCATTGTGTTATTCAGTCATTGTTTACACACAAAGGTGGCTTCTTAGAGCTGTTTAAAGTAATTGAGAACAAAACTCTCTGCAGTGGGATTAAATCTTTTTTGTCTTTTTGCAGAAATGTGCTCTCGCCTGCACTGTTAATTGTTTAATCGGTTTTGCTTTCAAACATGGTATGTTTGATTGCATAAAAAGGCACAAAAGGAACTCCATATTTCGTGGAATGGCCCTTGTGAAGCTCCAGCAGGTTTGTCTGTATAGGCTCGGAGGGGATGGATTTTTCTGCATCCTCATTTTCCAATGGACTGCTATCGAGTGACTCTATTCATAGCCCTTGCCCCGTCCCAGGCAAGCCATGTGGCCTCTCAGCAGTACTACACCGCACATCTGTTCAGCTGCTTTCTTTCTCCATTATCATTTAGTCAGACTCATTTAAGATGCAGTGCTATCAGAGGGGATTATGTTCACCCCTGAGAGGGCATTTCCTGTTCCTGTCCCTCCTCAAACCGCTTTCTTCATGGCCATTTTCTGTACAGTAACGATATAATCCAGCGCCCGTTCTTACGTAACTCCAGTGAAGTACAGATATTAATAATCCCACGCGGCCTGTGGCACGCTGGCTCTGTGACATCACCGTCAGCCACAGCAGAGTATGACTAGAGCACTGTGGGTAAACACGCTTAAGAGCAGGACATGGAGCGGTTTGCTGGAGTTCACAGAGAGCAGGGCTGCCAATGTGTAGATTATTCATAGATTATGGGTCATGGTATGTACCACTTTTGCAAACAGATGTGTGGATTAAGACATTTGTAGATTACAGTCTGTGGATTGATTTTTGTAGAGTATGTTGTGTACAGTAAATATTAATATATGCTTTCAGTGTATTTGTATTGTCTTTGGGTATTATGTTTGCATTTATTATGTTTGTTTAGATTATTAGGGATTATTGGATTTATAACTGGAAAATATCATACATACATGTGTTTACAAAAATGATTTATTTAGTGCATGCAGGGTCATATCAATGTTCATGCTTATGTGAAATGGCTCAGAGTGTGTGTGTGTGTGTGTGTGTGTGTGTGTGTGTGTGT